TTAGGGGGGAAATTAAAATATAATGAATTTGGAAGGTCTTTAGGAAGGATTAATCTTCACTAAGCATGAGAAACTCCTAGTTGGGGAAGGTGTCTAAAATACTAGTACAGTGAATTAGGCAATGTATTTTACCAAAAGTCAAGCATTACCAAACGCCAGTAAATATACATTAAAAAAATCTTAAATATATATTATGCATGGCAAAGTTCTTATCCAAATCTCAATACTTCAGGGATTATCATGCTATTAGGTTTGGAATGAAATCTTACAAATTTTATGAGTAATGATGTTAGAATGTTACAAAATATTAAGTAAAATGTAATGAACATGGAAAGATTATAATCAATGCTTAAAACTTCAGAAATATCACATAAAGAATATGGCAGTGGCATTTTATCCAAAATGCCTTTATCTCATTCTTACTGGACAGAAATGTTTCACATGTACAGATTTGAAAGAAACATGTGTTTCATGATGGATATTATCTCATGGATATTGCCTTAAAGTTTATTGAAGGTTTAAATGAGACCTTTGGAAATTTGATAAGATTGCTTTATTTTCTTTAGGGTTCATCTAAAAGAGGATAGAAATCTCTACCAAATGCTCTTAGAAATATTGTAAAAGTATTCCATGGGTGAAAACAAATTCAAGTGTTTTCCAAAGGGTATATATACTTTATAGGGTTCATTATCCACACTAAGAGAATCTCATAAGTAGAAAACAAACAAAAAATATAAAAAGTATACAGATAAAAACATTCTAGTTACTCTTGTATAACTATAAAGTGAATTTGAAATTGTATTACATACAGAAGTTAATGACAAATGAATTACGATGTCAAAAAAGTTTATCTCAACAAAATTTTTATCATTCTCAAGTGTAGAATATATAAATACCAATATAATTTATATTTATTTTGTAAAAGTTATTGCTGTACATATTTTAAATAGATGGTGACCTAGCCCTAGCCGGTTTGGTCCAATGGATCGAGCATTGGCCTGCGGACTGAAGGGTCCTGAGTTCGATTCCAGTCAAGGGCACATATCTTGGTTGTAGGCTCCCGGCCCTGGTCAGGGGCATGTGGGAGGCAACCAATCAATGTGTCTCTCACATTGGTGTTTTTCTCTGTCTTTCCTTCTCCCTTTCACTTTCTCTAAAAGTCAATGGGAAAATACCCTTAGGGGAGGTTTATTAAAAAAAAAAAAAAAAGGAATGGCTGGGGGGAGGGGGGGTCAATTGGGGAAAAAGGAGACATATGTAAAACTTTAGACAATAGCCTTAACCGGTTTGGCTCAGTGGATAGAGCGTCGGCCTGCGGACTGAAGGGTCCCAGGTTTGATTCCAGTCAAGGGTATGTACCTTGGTTGCGGGCACATCCCCAGTACGGGGTGTGCAGGAGGCAGCTGATCAATGATCCTCTCTCATCGATGTTTCTAACTTTCTATCCCTCTCCCTTCCTTGCTGTAAAAAATCAATAAAATGTATATTTAAAAAAACTTTAGACAATAAATAAATAAAACCTCAAAATAAAAAAAAAATTAGATAGTAACCTAAATTATCACATGCTTCATCCTTCCAGCTCTTGTCCTTATGTTACCTAGTTTATTAATATTGAAAATAGGAAGGAAGCAAAGGGAAGGCCAGACTTTATAAGCATGGTCATCTTGGGAACCTCACCAGTAAGCTGCGAGTTCTCTCCCCAGGGAACTCCAGGTTTATTCCCTGCCAATCACTGGGTGAACAAAGGGGGAAATCTGTGCATGTGCAGTGAAGTCGAGATGACTAGGGAAGGTGCTTTCCTGTCAGTCCAGCCTGGGAACAAAGATGATTGGCCAGGAGGGTGAATCCCAATGCAAGCCCAAGAACATCTGGGAACACATAATCCCCAGACAAAGGAATTCTCCTCTTGTTCCTCTTGCTTGCTTGCCCTTGCACCCACTTTCTCTGTGACTTGCACCACCCTGCCATGTGTCCCTAGAAGCTGCGTGGCCCATGGCTTTGGGGACCCACGCGCAATGGACTGCAGCTGGGAACACAAGCTAAGCTGGCCAGATGCTGGCCTGGATTGTGCTCTAACAGGGAACGGAAACTCTGGGCAGTGGCTTTGTTTCTAGCAGGACTGAAGACAAAAATGGGACTTTTTCCATGGTGGGACAGAGGGGGACCGGGCCTTGGAAAGGAACTCCCTTAATGTTACCTCATCAATAATGCTTTCTATGATAACCTCACCCTCCAGTGGGGGCCTCAGGAAATTCTTGTTCCAGTCCCACCCCAAGAGCTCCCCTTCCACCAGCAAGAGGTAAGGACATGGAGGACACCCCACCCATAACACAAAAGTCTCTGAACCTGAGCACAAGACTGAGCCCAGGGTGATTGGGGAATAGGAATGGAAATAATGTTCTGATATCTGTCCCAGTGATTGGCAGGGAATAAACCTGTAGTTCCCTGGGGAGAATATGTGATATATGTGATGGCATATTTTGCAAAGGTAGAATTTTGAATTTCACATTCAAGATTGCATCCCCTGCACAGACAACTGCACTCCTTGCTTCATCTCATTGCTTAAATTAAATAAACAAATACGTAAGTAAATAAATAAAGTCTAATCCAGGAGACCTCCTCCACAGCTTGCAATGTCAGTGCCGTTCCCCAGACTCCAGAGCTGGAGTTCAGCGGGCGTCTCTGCCAAGCGGGCGTGTCCACCACTTCCCACTCGAGGTTTGAGCACATCTGTTTCCAGGCTGTTAAAAACAAAGACATTTTTGCTTTCAACATACGTGGCCCACAGGACTCTACATTTTATATTAAACCGTTTGAAAATCTACTTAAAATGGGCAGGGAGTAGCCTTGCTTCACAAAGGAAACTGAACAGGCTCAGGGCTCAGAAAATACAAACTCAGAGCCAGGTGGACGGGAGCCAGGATCCGGACACTGACCGTCCCTGCGCTGAGGCGGGCCGCCCTCCCGGCCGCCCGCTCCACCCTGGGAGGGCATAGCGGGGGGTGGGTGAGTTATACCTAGTCCTCCTGCAAGAACAAAAAACCTTGCGGGGGGCCAAGCTAATACTTATAGTTCAGAAACAGGTGAGG